ACTAGGCAGCTGAGGAGGGAAAAGATTCGGTTTCCCGCGATGATGACGGGCCGCGCGCGGGAGTGTAACTGTAAATCGGCCACAAAGTTTGCATGTGCGATCGTTGAGCGCTCAATTGGCTGACTCATCCGTGGAATTTCGCGCGATGCAAATTAGTGGGACAACCGCGATCTTAAATGTCAATAGGCGTAGGCGTAGCGCCGACCGTGCAATCATTCAGACGATAATGCAGCCTGTCCCTTCGGGCATCGAATGGACGTTGCGTGCGATATAGACGTTCACGTCGGTCTGTCCTCGAATCAACACGATCTCAACGCTCACCCTGTAACGCCTAACCTTATCATTTAATCGCCAATATGCATGCGTGTGTATGTGTGTTTTCGCTTTCTTAAGAAACGATGGCATAAATTAAGAAGCGAGAGACATTATGCGCGCGCGCGATCTCGCTCACTTGACAGATTTTTGCACTTGTACTTGAGACGTGGTTTGAAATGATCCTCGATTATCGTCATCGGTGACTTCTTCTCCCATCGTCAACGGTCATCCCTGAGCACGAATCTCAAGCATTCTTCCGGGCGCATACCTTAGCTTTGCACTTCAATTTGTCTCGTCGATCACGGAACTCGAGCCGACTGGCATTCGAAATATGACCGTGAAATAGTGCCGTCAGGTTACAATACGGGAGTTGAAAGGAACCACGCCTCGCTTCCTTGTGCAATTAAATCAGGCTGAAAAATATCCTCCTCTCTTTCTCTCTTTCGCAGGAAGGTATTCTTCCTCGGAGTTTGTGCCTTCAAGAGTCATTTCAATGAATTTTCTTGTTGCACACGCGCGGTATTTAATGCATCCTGCGGAGAAATTTGGCCGGACGCCAGTGCGCTAATGATAATAGACGTCGTCTAACTATAGTTGCTTAGAGGAACGTCAGTATTCATTTCGGAGCGCGTTAGATGTGCGACATCGCACAATAATGATGATCCATGGCGCCTCGAGATCGTGTCGTCCGTTATTAATCAATGGTAAAAGCGGACCGATGTACACACTTCCGACGCCGTTTTTCACGTGTCGTTTTCGCTTACACTTAACATCCCGCAATGCGATAAGTTTGTTGGAACAGCTTGGCGGCTGCCTCGTTTAAATCGTTTCGTCAAATTCTCGGCGGTCGCGCCGGATCGCGCGTTAGTCATTGAGGAAATCATACCGCGATGTGTACATTCAGAGAAGCTAATCTTATCAGGAGGCACCTTCGCGTCCAATGGTCACGCAATTCTGTAATTTATGCATTCTCAGCGCGCAGTTGCAAGTGTACGCGAACTGAGATAGTTAACTAGACGCGTAAATCGAAAATCTCATGAAGCACGACAGGCGAGTCGCAAAATTTTCACTGCGGTTTGTTTCTAACCGTCTGCCTATCCGAATTGAAATTTTAAATCTTGCATTAAGTCTTCGAGGGGAAAAAAATGGAAATGTGTTTTGCTTGAAGGAAACAGAATTTCTGATTCTGATGGCCCAAATTCTCGTAACCAGAAATTCTATTTCCTTCAACCAAAACGCGTTTGGTTCGTTCGCTGTCTGTTCAATTCAACCAAACATTTTTTCGCGTGGGACTGAAATTTCGATTTGGACGTCGACGTAATCGGAACACGTACACGACGAATTCGGACGATTTTTGTCTTTTTTTTCTCATGCCTCGTTCGAGAAGGACAAGGAAATAGTCCCGCAGACGTGACTGCGCCACTGATGATCGTAATGTGTTACGTGTACACCGACTGAGGAACGCGCATAATTTAACATGAACTGGATACGGAGGGTATAGTAATTGCAGTGATCTAACACAGGCTGTTGCGAGATGACCGCGGGAGCTGCCGAGTCTGGGTGGTCGGGACCTGACAATAAGTCGAGTCCTGTTTCTCATTGGTCGTCGTTACGGCCGGCATGAAAGACTGGTATCATTCCCATAAAACCACTCAGCATTTTAATCACCGCTGGGCGTTCACGCGCGAACAACGATAGTCTATGTTTCCACGCATCGTAGCCACATAGATTATCAGTTTACATGTTATCTAGTCAACGCACGGTGCGGTTATATTTCCCCACCTTAATCTTGTAAGGCGAAATAAAGTTTAAATCAAACGTTTCCACGAAGCTAATCTCTCGGCGGAGGGAAATAATTAGCAATCGCCCCGACGACCACTTCCTCGACATCCCGTGTACACACACTGGACGCTTTATCGTGTAATGAAAAACCTAACGCGGAGCAGTTGGGCGGAAAAACTGCGTTTTATGCGAAGCTTATAGGTATATATGTGCGTGTGCGATAAAAGAGAAAAGGAATCAAGGAAAGAGATTCTATCCGAGTCTGCTTCGAGAGTCCCGTGGAGATGACTGTGTCAGCGATCGTCGCTTTCCGTTCGCCCGCAGAAGTTAAGGGTTAAACGAAAGCGAGACGGGTTAGAAGAAAAAGAGTGAGGCCTTGAGGCTGTCTGGCGCGTGGGTGTCGCAGAATGATGCATCGAACAGCGAGGCCCTTTTATGTCTGCAGGTCCTTAAGGTGCGTGTACACGGCTCTTGTTTGCCATACAAACACGTATCCTTAAGTACAGGGCTCTCTCGTGTGCTGATCGATAAAGAGTGACGCGAGGATCCTTTAAATGGCTGTCTCCGCGGAGATCGTGAGGTCTATGGGAGATCGTCTACGGGAGTTGTCATCGACTCTTGGACCGTGGGATGCGGCGATTTCGCGCGATGTTCAGTCGGATCCGAACATTAGTTTCGCTTCCAACCATTCACTAGGATGGCAGAGCCGGGAAGGAGGCGATGGATCGCCTCGGACCTAGGAATTTTGCTTAAGTGGGTCGACGCGGTAAATCATTGCGAACGCTTCTAAAGACTTCCCGGAATACTCCCCGCGCGGTTTCTCGATCCTCGAGATATCGGACGAGTCATTTTTTAGGTCATCGTTACAAGGGAGACTTGTCTCGGGGATCGTTACGTCATCCATGTCGGGATCGCTCCATATGGTTATTTAGACACTCGTGATTCCGGTCACGTGTTGCACCGTCGCGGTATTGTCATCACGGTGGATGCATGCGAATCAAGGACCAGACATTTGAGAGAGAGAGAGAGAGTGTCGTCGCGAGAAATACGTACTAATTGCGAAATTTAGCCCGTCGGAGATATTTCGAGATGTATCGATATGCTTCCCTCGGTTAAAATGTCATTTTGTTCGAAAAATGATCTCCCGTATGATTCTCAATTAATCTATATTGCCTGTCCAACCATCGGCTAATATTTAATCTCGTGCCTCTTTCTCTCTCTCTCTCTTTCTCCGGCTTTGAAGAACGTTAGAATTGACAAACATCGCTGCTTATTTCTTGTCCTATTTCCAGTATCCGTCCGCGAACGGCGTGAAGTCACGGTTAAAATTGCCCTAAGCGGCTCGTGTTTTACGGGGTTTCGTAAATAAGCCTGACACCGTTACACCACCGAGACGGCTTCTCTATTTCCGATACATATATTGCACGCTTTCTGTCGCATCGCACGAGTCTGGAACGAGCGATGACGTAACAGTTGAAAATAATAATCCCGAAATTCGCGAATGCGCCGGCTCTGCTTTCATCTTCGGCCTTTATCTTTATCGAGCCGATAAGTTATTATGGTTTTACAGCTTCTTTCTCTACGAAAGAGAAGCTCTACGAAATGCCTTTGAAGTAGTCACGAGTGTTCGAAGAACTCTTAATATCATAACCGCCTCTTTAAATTGGCTTAAAAGTTCCGGACTTCCGGTTTTTTATTCATCTATCACGTGTGTGTGTTGTATTAGTCCTTAACATCATAATAGTTTTTTATTAAAATCTTAAATGTGGTTTAGAAGAGATTAAAAATAGAATTTAAAAATAGTATATTAACCTCAAGGAATATGTTTAAATAGTATCATTATTTTCAGTTCTCAAATAGAACAAAAGCTGTATAAAAGTCAAGATGATGTCAAAATGACGTTGAAATGATATCACTTGTTGTTGTGATAATGCGATAAAATTTAATTGGTATGACCAAATTATTTTGCTGTCTATATATTCAGCGAATAGCAATAAATATTCTTAACAAATTTTTTGCCGTCCCTGTGGTAACTAACAATTTGCTATGCCGGCAAAATATTTTTCTCCATATAATGTAAATTTTAACGAATTCTTAAAAAAATTCATTTTATGCTACTACTACTAATATTTGTTTCTTTACTCGTAAGTCACATGATCGAGAAACATGAATAACGTTGAGCGGCGTTTGACAGAACGCGGCAGGTTCGCCCGAAAGACCGGATTGCGTAATGAAAGGACCGATCCGCTTGGTTAAATGGCTATTAAATGAACAGTACGCCCATGCCATAAATCCAGGGCTAAAACCTTTTGCGTGTAAGCCGTAGTTCTTTTTTCTTTCGATGATTGTCATGGGCGTGACCGGTTAATGAAACGTACTTATATTGCTCGCGAATTTTTACGCGGTTCACGGTCTCATCACCCACACACGGCTGGGCGCAACAATGGCACTCCATTACTTTGGCACAATAAATGGGAACTGCAGCCTATTAAGCGCGGCTTTTTTGCGCGCTGCGTTAATTACATTCGGTACAAGACGTGTCAGAAATTGTTCCGACGCGTCGTCTCCCCGAGTCGAAGTTTTAGTCCTACTTTAAATCTAATTTAGCTCTACATTAAGTGTTCAAAGGTTTCCTATTGTGCTTTTTCAGCATTATAAATGGGGAAGTTGTTGTCGTTTTCTCCACTTAAAGATTTAATGTAGAACTAAAATTTAGACTCTGGAAGACTAAATTTTCTTTGTAGCATTAACAGAGCACTTATTGTACTTCTTTAATGCTACAGGTGGGAACTTATTCCCATTTTCTCCACTTGAAGACTTAATATAGAATTAAAAATGTCGACTTCAGTCTCCGATAAAGACCATGGCGAGTCTATTATCGATTTTTTAATTTAATGTTCCAGGTCGAATCGGTGGATCTGGCGCTGAAGATTCTGGACGGCTCGCAAATTCGCGGGAAAACGTTGTCGGTTCAGAGAGCGAAGTTTCAGATGAAAGGCGAATACGACCCCGGATTGAAGCCGAAACGGAAAAAAAAGGACAAGGAGCGGCAAAAGAAGATGCAAGAAAAGTGAGTCTCTCTCTCTCTCTTTCTCTCGCTAAATTTTACAACGCTAGGATTACGAATTCAAACGCTGATTAACATTTAAACAGCCGCGTCCGAGTGAACGTTCATCGCCGAAAGTGTTCTTCGCGACACGCCGACTCGAGGTGCGGCGTCGTTTCCTCTCACGACTCCTCGGTATAAATCGGGCTCGGCGAGCCCGCGTTGCAAAATCGAGACGGTCGCGTTTCTCCTCGGTTTCTCCGGTCCATTCATCTCTTTTCCGCTCGCGTCTTCGCGCGAGGCCGCGTACCCTCGAGGAATCAAGATACGTTTCATCCATGCTTTGCGTCTGCCGCGCGCGTATGCATCTTATTAAGGTTTCTACGCACCGCGATGTCGCGAGCTCGGCCTCTTATAAAATGGCATCGAGATCCGACACGTCCGAATGCGTGGGCCTCCTACGACGCGCGCTCCCATCCGCGATATCTCGCGATTTTTTTTAAACGCTCTCACCCTTTACCGTATTATCGCGTTCCGCGTGCAACACACGTCGCGGTTGTGTGTAAAGGCTTTTATAATTATACTGCCACATCGGCTCCGGGTTTGCAGCCGCCAGACTGCTTGGCGTTTGCGGTTCCGGCAAAGGCAGCTGCGCACGTCGATTACCCGCATTTAGCGGGTCGGCATACAGACCGGCCCAAAATTATACGGGCACGCCGGACTTTCAGAGATTGCGGTTCGAACCCGTTAATCGAACGAATGAGCCGAACGACATTGACTTTGTTTCGTGCATATCTCGAGACGAGTGTTGCGGCCGTTCTATTGTTGGGATAAGAGAGCGAATTCTCGAGCGTTCTTCCATTTTGCGCGACCGAATAAATAAAAAGAAAGTTTGATTTCTCATTGAAACTCTCTCGCAACAATTGTAATTGGCCACTGTTATGCAAGAAGTCAAGCATGGTCTATTTTCTTCTCTTTAAGGGTATTCATTGACAAGCTTAACCTTGAAAAATGGGTTAAAAAGACGCAACTAGTAAAATATGGCACAATTAATAGAAAATAAAAACTGTTTTTTTAATTAATTTTAGGCATAAAGATTTTTTGAAGCCGTCACACGGGATGACCCCCTTAAGATACAATCGTAATTTTGTCAATTACGTTATAAAAATCGTAATCGTGTATCTTGGAGATTCCTGAATATTTGAATATTGCCAAACGTTTCACACATATGGGATTTTTTTTTTTAATATTGTCGTTCTTGCGTTATCATGCTTCATTCTATAGTGTTACACTCATGATGCGTCTTTGTTGTCTTCATCGTTAGGCACATCGTCTCGTTATCCGGCGTAGGTCGCGGGCGCAGGGTCGACGCCCTGAACTTTGCGAAAACCAGTTATTGGCGAACGTGCGGGCCCACGTACGCCGGCCGGAAGTGTTCCTCCCGGCAACGCGGTCTTTCGACACCCGTAAATCGACGTGACCGCAACATTTCCCCTCCCTCTTTCGATATTATTTCCCTCGTCATTCTGAGAAAGAGTCGTGAGATACGATCTATCGATCATCACGACGGTTCTCACGGCTACCCGAATCGGAATTTTTTGCCTGCACATTAACCCGCAAATTCCGTCATACTTGAAGGACCTAGGAGAGTCTGGAGATATTGCGCTATACAAACTGTTGCCCTACCTCGGTGTTGCAAATAGTGCTACAAAATTATTTGCCATTTTTTTCATGTCGGATTTTCCCCAAGAAAAGATTGATCTCAGAATTGTTTCATATTCGATTATCCCGGTATTCTGTCTGCGTTTAATTTTTATTTGAAAATTCGAAAGAGGTGAAAGAGAAAGAATTGTAAATGCAATCATAATAATTAATAATTGTGTGTCCAATAATGCCATATACCAAAGAAAATTTAAATTTTGGTTCAATATTCATTAACAATGATAACAAGTGAGAAAAGAGGATATGTGACCATGGCGGTTAACATATTAAAATCGGAAACCTCTTGTATAGTTGATGGATTTGCATACCTGTGTATGAAAATATATGATGTATCACTGCCCGTCCGGGGTCCTGCATCCTCTGTCGTCGTCCCGGCTTCCTGAATCAGCATCCTGGTTCACAGATGTTCCATCATGGCATATTTTCCGGATATTTTCCCATGGCACTGATATTAGCGTAGATACGACGATTCCATCGGAGAAACGTGCGTAAAATAACGCGATGCCAACGAGAACTCAACGAAATATTTTCAGGACCGATACGAATGATAATTAATTTATTCATCGAATTATTCATACACGTGTTCCCGTGTTCGCGGTGTTTGCGTCGCTCATCGGCTCGAAATGTAACGGTTCAGTCACGGAAAAGTACGTGACACACGAAGAATTCCAAAACAATCGGCAAGATTATCCCCGCCAATTGTCAGGCGTCGCTGACCTTCAGTTGATGACGCGTACGTTCGGTGGTGAACAAAATCACAACAATCAACGTACTCAAAACATATCGGCCTTTTGAAACGGTGAAAGCTGCCAGAATGTTCGCACGTCGTGTAATTTTCCGTGACTTAATGTTACATTAAGTTTCGAGCGACGGGGAGCATGTGAAAAGGTGATTTAGTTGTCATTTAGTTGTCGGCTTTTGAAATATTTAATCCGACTCTCGTCGACATCGCGTTCATTAAAACACGCGTTTCTCCGATCAAATCGTATTCATGCGAAGCGTCAATGCTATGATGTAGTAATCAGGAGCCAGAATGTTTGATTGAAAACTAGAACGCGGACAGCGGTACATGATATATTTCCAGATGTTTTAAATTATTTCCTAATTTGACGGACATTTGACAAACTTGCGCATAACTGGAAAATATACCTAAGTCAAGATTTAAAATCGCACGTCAGTCTGGCAGATAATAATTTCTGCCTCTAATAATTCTCCTTAGGCCGCAGTTTCATTTTGAATTTGAACCAACGTCTTCTTTTTATTTCTTCTAAATTTGCAAATCTTACCGAAATTTTCAACGCCAACGAAAAAGTAGTAATAATATAATAATGTAGAAAAGGTTTTTTATTTACTCGTTAATTTCTATTAGATAAATTTATATAATATTTGCTTATATATTTTCTACTTGTAATGGAGTAAGTTACATAATATATTACTGATTTAAGTTAAGAATAAAGATTAAATGTAGATAGAATATCGAGATTCTGCGGCGAACTACGATGTTTTAAGATCTTTTTATTAGTTTATACGTTACAAACTCGTTCGTTATTACTTTCGAATATGTTATTATTAAACTTCTTTCTGGTTTCGTTTCTCCGTGACAACACGAGTTTCTTGTACATTGTAATTGTAAATACAAGTCACATATGGCACGTGCGTGCGCCTTGTTTATGTGTCTCGTCTAACGTCTGTCAGGTGCATGACACGTAGTTTCCAGCGCAAGTGATTTAGTCTCGACATATGTGTGACGAAACGGCAGTATTCAATTCCTACAATACAGTGCAATCTGATATTTTAGGCTTTCGTGGTTTGTGTAAACATCCAATTTGGTAAATTAAATTAGGGAAAATATTCAGTTTCGAGTCGTTCCTGAAGAAATGTTCACGAAAGATCATGATGATAAGTTCAAAAGGACGCGATGCTAACTCGAAACCCCAAATTGAATGCAATATAATATCTCGAAATCGGTCCTCGAAGTTCGACGGATTTGCAGAGATAATGTAAGAATTAAAATTTTGACTCAGCCGGCGACTCGTTCTCGATCGTGCGGCTTGGTACCGGCAATTTGTGCTGCATCAGCGACATTTGTCGGCATCTTTAGCCATTAAGAAATGTCACTTCCAATAATGACAGCGGTGAATTGACATGACACCATGCAGATCCGAGAATCGATGGATGCACATCGGTCGATCCGATGCGCCCGATCGCTCGCGCGGCCGTTAACGGTAGATAAACACCGTTAACAGCGTTCGAATATCGTGCTTGCTAATGAGGATTTATGTGTGTAGATTTAAAGCGGATTCTTGCGTGAAATCGTCCGGTCGATTCAATTTTTGTCGTATCGTCGTATCTCTTCTCATTATCCCGGTTCCTTTGTTTTCTTTGTTTAGGCTGTTCGACTGGCGACCGGAGCGTATGCGGGGCGAGCCGTTGAAGTGCGAAAGGATCGTCGTCATAAAGAATCTTTTCGCACCGGAGGATTTCGACAAGGAGGTCCAACTGCTTCTGGAGTATCAGCAGGACATCCGGTCCGAGTGCCTGAAATGCGGTGACGTCAGAAAAGTTGTCATCTATGACGTGAGTTTTTCCTCCCGTTTTTCTCTTCCTTTTTTCGCTCCTATGCCGCGATTACATAAACGCCATGTTATGTCAACGCGTCAAGTCTTGATCTATGATTAATAGTCGAGGATCTTTTTGACATTGAGAAACGGGGAGCCACGTGTGCATATTACGAGCGCGATCGCGCTCTGACGGAGTCTCTCGACACACCTAAAGCCCAAGACTGTTGCGCCCGAAATCACTGTTTCTCTTTTAAACTGGACGCGATCGGAGCTTCCTTCGAGCGCCGTATTTTTAGCGGTCGAGAGAGAGGAGGAACGCCTCCCCGAAAGGGGATGCCTCTAGCTCCATAAATTGGCGAGAGACGAGGGACACTCCTAGTCTCAGCGCCTCAGCCGTGAAACTATTCAATGTCAAAGTGCATTCCATCCAGGCGACGTGTCGGCTCTCCCTCCTCTTCCCTCTACGTCTCTCTCTCTCTCTCTCTCTCACTCTCTTTGCTCAGTTGCGTATTTTTATTGTTACACATTGTTGCATTTGTACTTGTCTTGTGCTAATATTTTCCTGCCCATTTTCTTCCGCAGTTTGTCTTAATATTAACCGAAAAATATGGTTTTGTGTTGTTTATATGCATCACTGAAATTTGACTTGTGAAAAATGTTAAATGTTAACACGTTTCAATGCTATAATTGTTGCGACACGTGTACTAATTTTAAGAAAGCGATAATCCACTGAACACCACCTATGTCCGTTCTATCGTATTTCTCTTTTTGTGTTGGCCGTTGTGCGAGAAATAGCAACGGCTTCAAAAGCCACGCGCGGAACTTCATTTTCCGTCACCTAATTTACCATAGGCATCACACTGCCGTTTTTCTCGCTCTGCGAGCACGTGTTACTGTCACCGTGTTCTCGGTGAATCATGGCCCTTTGCTGTCGTGCTTGTTGTAAAGTATACGTTCACTAAAACGACGGATCAAAGGGAATCCACTGATAATTTTGTGGAATTCCGGACAGTCCCCGGCCCTTCCGCAAATGAGAGGAAAAAGAAACCGGGCTTAGACGTTGAGCTAAAATTATTTTCGACCTGGACGATCGGTGTCAAATTATAATCTGACATTAGAAACAGAGCACGAGTTCGCTTGGAATTTGTGTTTTTTTTTACTTTGAGTTTAATCGAATGAAATGTTCGATTTTGTAATTACAAGGGGGCCACTCATAAATTTAGTATTGATTAAGTAAAATTAAGTTCCTGCACATTTATTTCACTAAATAAATGTAATTAATAAATAATAAACGTTAATTTATAACGATGTTGAGATGAACATATTTACATATATATATAATATAAATACGAAAATATTACTTTTTATTTTTTTTTTATTAATACTATTCTTATGCATTAGTTAATTTAACGAATAGATAAAGATACACAGATACTAAAAAAAGGTATATAGGTTTTTAAATATGTACCTATATATATGTATTTCGAGTATTACTATAAGTTATGAATTTTACATTGCTGTATTTTCAAAACAAAATGGTCGGTAATTTTGAAATTGTTGTATAATGTCTCTATATTAATCCGTAATATCCCAGTAATTTTTCGTTAAAATCTTAAGTGTGGAAGGAATTAAAATTAGAAGTTAAAAATCGGACATTAACTTCAAGGAATATGTATAAGAAGTTATTTTCATTTGCGAATATCTCAGTTTTTGAACGGCCAATCGTTTTCTAATTGCGGCAATAATTAGGTCATATTTGAATCTATATCTAGTGCAAGTTTTGACGAATTCTGAAAAAAAATTCATTTTATGCTGCAACTACCCGAAATGTGAGGGATAACTATGAAGAAATCGGCAAAAGAGACAATCGGAAGGAATGTAGCATTAGGACGAATTTCTAATTAGATCATCGAGACCATAAATTTTCGACAAGTTCTGCGTAAGAAAATTCAAATAGTAAGCTTCACTTTCTTTTTCACACGTTCTATTTCATTTTGTTACAACAACATTCACTGTCGCGGTCGGTTTGTTGTTAAAAGACCAATAAGCACTATGAAAGCAAACGGTTCGCATACGATTTGCCGCTTCTCTTCCCAGAGACATCCCGAAGGAGTAGCGCAGGTCACATTCCGAGAGCCGGCAGAGGCGCAAGCCTGCGTGCAGCTTCTGAACGGCCGTTGGTTCAGCCAAAGGAAGATCTCGGCAGAAATCTGGGACGGCAAGACCAAGTATAAGTAAGTTCTCGCATTGCCGCTTTCTACTATACCGGCTTTAGGATAGGTGCTACCGATGGTTGCTGATGCAGGCGCCCAAGTTGATCAGGAGTACAACCGTCTCTGTGGTTTATTGGAAATTATTTTTCTCTTCGTCTTCGAAGCTACACATTCGTGCGAAGAAACACACGTCGCGAAAGTAAATCATATACGAAGTAAACATCGTGATAACAAATTATCGATATTTCCGATAAATTTTAACCACTCCGGTTCTTCGTTTATCGAGTGAATCGAGTGTGCTTCGCGGCATCCAAACCACTTTATTCGATGTTGGTAAAGTTTATTCGTTCATTCAACAATAGACATCGTATTGCGATTGCGAACACTTCTCGATGTTTAAGATTCCATTAAGTCACGTTACGCATCTGAAAATTAAACGTAATTAACGCAATTGTCGTCATAACGAAATTGTGCCTTTTCAGAATTACAGAGACTGACGCGGAGATCGAAGCGCGACTGGAAAAATGGGACAAATACTTGGATCAGGAAGAGGAGAAGAAACAGCAAGGGACAAAGAGTAGCAACGAAGCGCAAAAAGTGTCGCAATAGAAAATATCAAGAAAAACGATCGATAAAATCGCGTTCTGCGAATTCTATCCCTTTTTTTCTTAATTTTCGAAAGTCCTCGTCGTCATATCGCGCTAAATATTAAATTTCAGGTTTTTTCTTGGGGCATTTTAATGTGAACACCATGATTCACTGATCCTGTCACACGCGACGACAAGGCTCTCTGATTGTAAGCCATTTGCATTCTTCGTCGTCTGAATCAGCGTTGCTATTGTATTAGTGCATTGTTAGTCTTTGTTGCAATAATAAAGATACCTCCTGAACCCGTATTTTCACATCGTACTCAAATATCATCAAGAGAAGTCATGTATAATTGTAATAATTAGAAAATATACTTTAAGTTGTCATTTAATATGAAGATTGAATTTGAAACATTCACAACGGCCAACAATCGGGAGTAATACGTTAAAACGAAACTTATTATAATTTCTTTATGCCAGAGTACACGGTGTATCCTGAAGAAATGCGGCCGGAGGAAAGGTAAGGATGATCCGCGGAAGCGGAAAAGAGGGAGGCGGTCTCTCTCTCTCTCTCTCTCTCTCTCTCGGAATTCCTTAATTTGCTATTTCGGCGTTCCTGGCAATCTCCTTTCGCGGCGCTCCGTCGGCAAAAGAGCATCTCTGCCGAACTGTCAAAAAACGCGATTTACAGCATCTCCGGACCGCGGTGTCCTTTCTTCGGCCGATCCGGGGGCGAATCGCTCGTCGAAGTAATTCACTTCGTCCACGGTGAGAGGTACTTACTAAAGATACTTCGGAGCGAATCAGCTCGCGACCGCGGAGTTAATGATTGCTCCCGTTCGCGAGTTATTTCCCTCGCGATTTAAAGCTCGCAAGTTATTCTTTGAGGATTCCTCGCGGTATGTGCCGAAATAAATGCAATGTCTGACATTCTTACGTTTGCTTATCCATCCGCGTATACTTTTCGATATTTCGAGATGTTCGAATTTCGCAGATTTCGGACACTGGTAAGGTCTCTCGCACTTCTCGATGTTCCTCCCAGAATTCCCCCCTGCTTCTCACTCCCGTGATTATATATTTTACATCCCTTCGCATCGGACAATATTAAATCCGTCAAATAGCTGGATCACCGTTCAGTTTTTCGAACGGCACACGTGGCTAAAAAGAACAACACCTCGAAGCTCGACGGTTCATTCGAGCGATGTCGTCTCGCTTCCCATTGTCCGGCATTTATTCGAGCCGCATCCCCCTTCGGGACGCTGCGAAGGGGGATGAAAGCACGAACGGCGGCATATTTCAGTCGTCCCGCGCCATTCATGATCCGGGCGAAGGGCGACCCTATCCGGCAATATCACTGACAAATTTAATGCCCAGCTATTAGGCAGCGGGGGGTGCACCTCTTGCCGCCCTCCCCCCCCGCACTGTCTCTCTCCATTGTCAAAGTGGCCACGTGCAGGATGACTACTGTTCCTGGCGCAGGCGAAAACGTTTAATCGTCATGTCCCTCTCGCGAAAAAGCCCGACGCCCTCGCCACGCTTGTCGAGGCTTATTGGATTCGCCTGTCGTCCCGGAGAGCCCGGGACCTGCTAAGTTACACGCGAGATTAGACATCGGCCGGTGACGTTAGTCGCGATTTGATACAGTCAAGTGTTTGCTGAAACATTATTCCCAATATGATCGTCGGTTTACTTCACACAATAGTAGGACTTAAGATCAATTAACGGGAATTCAACCAAGTTGAACTAGCTTGTGCATATTTCCAAAATTAGAGACAGGTTTATTGGACTTTTGCTAGGATTAGGACTTGCATAGGATGGATTCATGAATACAAATGCAAGAGAAAGTTTCCAATAGATTTAATTTATTTAAATAAGACACGGAATTATATATATGCGTATTGTATGTTTATGCTGCCTGAGATGCGAACTAGCCTCGTGAGTCTTAAATAAAGGCAGGTCAAACGTTCGTACATGATTGGTATATATACAATATAACATTAGTAATACGAGTAACGGGATCTTAAATTAGAATCACTGATGAAATCATATATCTATATACATAGCCGAGTGAGAAATATAATATTCAATATTCTCCAATGAGATTTAATATTCAATACTCTTCGATGAGCTCCGCATCATCTTCGGCATCCTCGGCTTCTCTCCTGAAACGGAAGCCGCCAGTTATACCAACCGAAGGGGAGAGACGTCCTCCCGGACCTGGTTGAACCTGACCGTTTCCTCGGATGAAACCATTATTGCCGAAGTTCCTCTCAACTTGGACACCAACGTGCGGTTGCGCTCGTTGTCCGGGTACTTTACTCACTCCACCGAAAATGTCCGCCGATGTACGACCATTGTTTGCAAGGTTACGATTGAAGTTGAGATCCCAGGTGGGTTGACGGTTCGGGCCGCTCAGAGGTTGAGTTCCTTGGAAGTTTATCGAATTCCGTTGGGGATCGGCTTCTCTCTTGAATCGGAAGCCACCACTTATACCGATCGAAGGGGAGAGACGTCCTCTCGGACCTGGTTGAAGCTGGCCGTTTCCTCGGATAAAACCGTCATTGCCGAAGTTCCTCTCAGCCTGGATACCAACGTGCGGTTGCGCTCGTTGTCCGGGTACTTTACTCACTCCACCGAAAATGTCCGCCGATGTACGACCATTGTTCGCAAGGTTACGATTGAAGTTGAGATCCCAGGTGGGTTGACGGTTCGGGCCGCTCAGAGGTTGAGTTCCTTGGAAGTTTATCGAATTCCGTTGGGGATCGGCTTCTCTCTTGAATCGGAAGCCAGCGCCTATGCCGAACGTCGGAGAGAGATTATGACTTCCCGGTTGTATCTGGCCGCTACCTGTGATGAAACCGTTCTTGCCGAAGTTCCTCTCATACTGGAGGCCGATGCTAGGTCGTCGATGCGGACCACTCATAGGCTGAGTCGCTATGATGCTTATCGAATTTTGTTCGGGATCAGCTTCTCTCTTGAATCGGTAGCCGGCGCCTATGCCAAACGTCGGAGAGAGATTATGACTTCCCGGTTGTATCTGGCCGCTACCTGTGATGAAACCATTCCTGCCGAAGTTCCTCTCATACTGGAGACCGATGCTAGGTTGTCGATGCGGACCACTCATAGGCTGAGTCACTATGATGCTTATTGAATTATTTTGTCCGGGATCGGCTGCACGTGGAAAACGTGGTGTCTATAAGAAACAAGTGAGCAGTTTTGAAAATACTGGTCCTATTAAAATCTATCCATGAAAAATAATTCTATTTGTAAAAATTGGCGAAATGAAATTTCTTTCATTGATGTGCCGGGCAAGGATGCGTTTTAAAGTAGGAAATTCCATTTTAATCAGGAATTCCAAGTGCGATAGGTTCTTCTATGAGTCACTTGAAGCGCGAGGTAATTACAACGAGATGCGCTGACAATGAATATATAATCGCACGTCAATAAATTTTCGCCATAAGCGTTAAATAAAGCGACATGTAATTGTTGGAAAAGATGTTCGTTCGTACACGATTATTTAAAATTCATGTACATTATAAAAGCATTTCTCTTTTAATTTTCTGCATTTTCGTGTTGAGGTATAAGATAATAGAAAATTTTAATAATCAATACAAGCGTAATTTCGCGTTTGAATGTATCGCCGTAGTGGATTTTGAACTTGTATCATTTTAATAGCAAAATTACTTGTTCGAATATCAATAATTACTTACATGTGGTAAAACCGGTCCGGTCGATTGCGAGGGCTCTTGGCTTCGAGACAATCCAGCGCTTGTATATGCGATAGCGCATGATAAGGCCAATAGTGAAATTAGCAGCTTCATCGTGAACACCGACTGTTCCTCTGGGATGGTCGTAAATGCTTTCGGTTGAAGTTCCAAGTGACTTCTGATGCCTGTTCGATCAACCTCGGTCGCTTATATATGAATTTCTCATTCGGGGATGTACCCGCGTTCACCCGAAGGTTCCCGTTGCGTCAGTTATCTGGCTGGGTATTACCCAAGTGAAAGCCAGTGGCGCCTAACAGTTGATCTCACGCGTTTCATTATCGCTGGGGGAACCCTGGTAACAAAAAGACTAACGCTCACGCGTTATCCGAGCACTTTGAGCGTATGTCATTCGGCTCTTGCTCTGTCATCAATTGCACCTGTGTTTCCTTGAACGTGATGTCATTTAATTACGTCTTTACGGTCCTTTTACTTTGTTCACGTCAGAATAACTGTTAAGGTTGTTAAGGTGATATGATGGTTTTTACACGGATGAATATTTAACAACGAATAAAAGTGCGAATTAAATAAGAAATATTATCATTTATACGTAGGAAATATAATTCTGTAAATTTTTTTTCATCTTAGTGATAGATATTAATTCAAATTAAATAGATTTATCAGATTGTGAGGAGAAGATTTATTATAATATGAATATAAAAGTAACATAGAATTAAGTGCGCACATATATACACATGTAGAATTTTTATAATTATTAAAATCTCTCTCTCTCTCTCTCCCTCTCTCTTTCTTTCTTTCTTTCTCTCTTTTGCTTTCAGCACTCCGAAAAATATTATCAGGATCCCGAACTATATTTCTTTTTTTATTTATAAGATATGCTTGTATATTTTTAACAGATACACTATATTTCTTACACCGTGAAAAATATTTTGTACTTGTATTAAAATTGGATCTTGTTAAGATTTTTGTATTAAATTTGTAACATACTGTGTTTATATTATCTCAATATTTTGTGTTATATTCGATATTCAACATGCGTAAGCGTTAAGATAACATATGTTCGATATTCCACATGCGTAAGCGTTAAGATAACATATTTATAATCGATTTCAGTATTGATTAACGTATTAATTTTGTGTTAATTTTTAATATTTGTGTTACTTTTTAACATATTCACCTTGTGTAAAATTAATATAAAAATTTCAGTGGACCGTTTGGTACATATGAAATGTGTTAAATTTAACACAAGATTTTTTACTATGCAGAACATTAGCGCATATCTATCTTCTTAATAAATAGTTTAAGACTAAAGTGGCAATTTCGCTAAAAAATCATCCTATTATCTTGAAAATTATTTTTATCTTTATTTAGAACATCGTTGATATAAAGCCTACAAGAATTATACTTGAGCGATAGCCCAATATCATAAACATGAATGTATTTAGCTTTGTGTATCATGAATATTATTGAAACGGGGAGATAACGAGAAGAAAAATACGATAGCGGGGATAAGTTACTACGTAATCAACGCAGAGTTCGCATTACCATTCGCGATTCGGGATTCCCTTAATGAGAATAGCAAGACACGTCGGCGGGAATACAGCTGCCGTCGCGCGACAAACCGAAAGATACAATTGTGAAAATAATGACGCGGTAAAGTCCCGCGAGAGGCAATCGTGTGTCTCATAAAAACTCCAAGCTTCTCCGGGATCAACACAGAAGTTCACTGCTCTTCAGACGGTGAACTATCACTGAGTTTTTCCGTCAATATTCAGAATGAAGCTGAACGCTATAGTTTTAGCTTTGTTGTGTGTTGTTGTGTACGCAACAGCGGAGGAGGAAAAAAGGAAGGAAACAAGTCGATGGCTTAGAACGTTGGTGAGTATATGTATTAAATTAAATAATTAATTAAATTCGATACTGGTTTATCCTTAATGCGATAGAGATACGTTATCACTTTATACATCGATTCTGTCGCTGCTTAAAACTTACAAAAAAAATTACAATTCGATAATATTGACGACACGTAGAAAATAACATTTTAATCTCGCGATTATAATGTTTTCAGTCGGTGCCGTATCGGTTTCGTCGCGACACTCAGAATAGCATCACCGCGAACGTGGCGCATGGAGAAGTTCCACAACTATCGATTGACGCCAATATTAACAAATATATCTTCGACAACGGCCGCATATTCGTCGATCTCACCGAAAACGCGAGCATAGCTCCCGGATCTGAACCACAATTGAACGGCCAGCTGGATATTTTGCATGAAATTGGCGAGAACAGTTTCCTCCGCGCTTACGGTAATCTTGAGCCGGATGGTAATTCGACTCGCAATTTCGGACTCAACGGTGTATTTCGATTCAAAAGAGACGCCGATCCCCCCAAAAATTCGATAAACTTCCAAGGGAGCCAACCTCTGAGCGGTCGGAATCGTCAACCTTCTTGGGATCTCAACTTTAATCGCAACATCGCGAATAATGATCGCACCAGGGCGGACGTTTTCGGGGGAGTGAGTAAAGTGCCCGGACAACGAGCGCAGCCACACATCGGTGTTCAGGCTGAGAGAAACTTTGGCAAGAACGGTTTCATCAGAGGTTTCGGCCAGCTTCAACCGGGTCGTGGAGGTCGTGGAGTCTCCCGGTCGTTCGGCATAACCGGTGGCTTCCGATTCAGGAGAGAGGCCGAACCACAATTTACTTAGATAAATGTTAACGATTTCAGCCATCTTTAACCAAATCTAGAAGATCACAGGGTCGCTCTCTAGATTTATTTAACCGGTGACTTCTTATTCTGGAAAGAATTCGAGGACATTGGTGAAGTTGGTGTCGAGTTGTATATTTTTAGACGAACTAGCGTATTCATTACGAAAGAAATAATAGATAAAAATATAGAATCCGCATCATTGAACGGAATTATTGTCCAGAAAGCTTTAATTAGATATGTTATTAAAATATTTTGATATTTGTTTTTGCCAGTATTTATAATAGTATTTATAATAGGTTTACTAGAAAGTTGTGTAAGATTATTATTAAGTAGAATTTGTAAATAATAAAGAGTACCGAAAGAGTATATTTTTCCTATATACATATATGCTGCATCTGAATTACCCATCATTTGCATTAAAATGTCTGTCGCGACATATGTAGTTTTTCATATATCTGGTGTAATGTTCAAATTCAGCTGGCCAGCTTTAACCAGATTCAGGAGATCACGGAGTCTCTCTCTAGGTTGATATAACCAGTAGCTCTTTATTCTGGGATGAAATCGAGAAAATTAATGAAGCTGGTATCGAGTTATACATTTTTAGACAAGTTAGCGTATTCACTACGAAAGAAATCGGTTTAAAAATGCCAAATTGACATCGTTAAACAAAGTTGTTGTCCAGAAAGTTTTAATTAGATACGTTGTTAAAATGTTTTGGCACTTATTTTTGCAAGCATTCATAATAGGTTTACTAAAAGAGCGTAAGATTATCATTAAGGAAAAATTGTAAGCAATAAAGAATACCAGTAAGAGTATTTTTTCTATGTATGTATATGTATGCTGCACTTGAATTACCCATTAATATAATTTTAAAGAGTCTGTCGCGACATTATGCGTGACTTTACATACATCTAGTGTAACATTCAAATTCAGACTCAACCTGAAAATTGTGTCAGATATAACCGAAGCAGGCCAGGCTGTAAGTCGGTCGGTCTGTGCCGCGTGAAAATGCGATTTCCACGAGAACAACATTTCTGCAGGAATTCCTTCCTGAAGACGCCATCTTCTGCCCCGTCCCCCTTCCTCCCTCCCTCTCTCTCTCTCTCTCCCCCCCTCTCTCTCTCTCTCTCTCTTCCTCTCGCCCTTTCGCCGCGGCAAATTAAGCTTCCCAAAACACCGCGAAACTGTTAATTAAGACTCATTATGTTCGCTACAGGGGATGGTTGCCTGGGATGGAAGGTGGCCGAAGCGGAGGATGAAGACCACGAAGGAGCCGTAGGTGGGGAAGGGAGCGGTGGGGGTAGGCGGGGGTGGTTTAACCCGAGTACGAACTTCTTAATACCGCAGCTGCAGTCGGGTTCATTGTGGGATCAATACGGGGAGATCCGTGGTAGTGGCAAGCCAAGTGCGATTGGCCCTGACGATCGGGCACGGCGATTGGCCGGCGCCGGCACTGCCAGGAGGCGGATCCTGCTACAGACCTGTCGTCAGGGTGGCGGAAAAGGGGAAGAGGATACGCGTCGCCGCTTGTAAACAGAGACGGGAACGGCTTAGAAAAAGACAGCGACAGGCACTAGGGAGAGAGGGTGACACACGGTGTCGTGTCTGGGGGTTCAGTCTGTGTTCACCCATGAGAGACACACCACCAGCGGCGACACGCTCCGCTCACGTCGCGAGGGTGGCTCGTTTCGCTCGCCAACTGGTCATCCTCGTTCACGAGGACCGCCTGTGTTACGCGTTGTATGCAGGTGCAGGTCGCGATTGGACGGTTCCCGTTGGAGAAGACCCTACCAAGAATAGACTCGACTGTCTAAACAATCAGAGTGAGACACAAACGATGACACGAGTTATGTGTGTCGTCTTGGGCAGCTGGTGGGTCCGCGAGATGAAGTGTTGAGAACGGTGACGGCGGCTCCTCTCATTAGCTAGGTGAAGTGTCGGTCAAAGTGTCCGTAAGTATTTCTGAAAGAGGATTAAATAGAGAATTCCACTTTGCGGGCAATCTGCAGCTGTGAACAATTGGATATTCTCGAAGCAAGTCGTGGAATTATAATTGTGTGCCTCGGTCGCAGGTGGTTATGTAAGACGACAGTGTGCAGTGTTGAAGTCAGTGATACAACTATTCTTATCGATCGAGAAATCTCGGAAAGAAAGGAAAGTTTCGAGAAGAGAGCGGAAACCGGGCGACCGATAAAAAAAACATAAACATACTCTTCGGAGATTGTATTGCCGGGAGGAAAGCCCTACCCCGCCCTAAATGATTCTCTTTATCTTATCGGTCGTAAAAGTCCTTCATGAGTTAAAGATATGACGTCATTCGGTATACTCAGCTGATGACGGCAACCTGAATCCTTTTGGATTCACGCAACCGTGCTCACCGTGAAAGGAGAAACGAGGAAGAGGAGCGATCGACCGGTGCGTTTCTTGCTGCGCGTCTCAGCTATCTGGAAGGATTCATCCTCAGTGCGTATGTCCGTAATTCGTCGCGCCTCAGTGATCTCGAGAAATACTGGAACTGTTCCTTATCTACCGAGGTACACTGCAAGTGATTAGAATTACATACGAGCAAGATTAACGAGAATACCTTGTGATCAATTAGCAAACATCTAATTTCCCACAATTACACGCGCGTCTCTCTCTCGTTCCCCTCGCACGAGTTATCGACGGCACAAACCGACGGTGGGTCGAACAACGTTTCTCGACGAACGACGTCGTCGTCCCTGTATACAGATTTAACGGCCGAGGAACTTTGGGATCTCGGACATTATTGAATATTTAAATCGACCACGGCGCATAATTCACGTCGGCGACGCGGGAGAAACCGGGAAACCAAGCGGAACTCTGTTTCACAGTGATACTTTCGACTCTCCTCGTGATAACGCGCTCTACGCATTAGTCGCAGCCGGGAATCTAACGTACTCCGTGAATTCTGGGACATTTGGATCAATTGTATCGCGATACCAAATGATCGAAGGAAGTCTGTGATCGCGGCAATAACAATACGACCGAGGAGGCAGCCTGCGATGCGCCGTGGCACGAGACGTTGTCCTTAATGCCGGGCCGACAACGAATCTAGTGGAATCCCGAATGGTATCGAATGTTTGAGTCGGCCGCGGCGCGCCATTAACGAGGAGGTGAATAAACTAAAGGGTGGTGTTCGAAAGGGTGGTGCAACGTTCGGGTACGCAAGTCTGCAAGCCAGCTCTGGGGTGCCGGGCCCGGGCGGGGTGATGAGCTGCTCCGAGGTGATGTATCAATATTATCCTTACCTCTACCAGACCCACCGGCCACCGCCGCCGCACCCGACTCACCCTCATGCGGCCCCGCACAGCCACCCCCACGCCAATCCACACGCGGCCCATCACAGTCCAGCCAGGCCGGCGCCCTTTCAACCCTTCCCGGCAGCCACGGCGACGCATCAGTATGACAGGGTGAGTCGATATCTTTGATTCTGAAATTATTCCCGTCGTCGAGAGGTCCGACTCGATTTTCGAGGACCGACGGAGAGAAATGAACACCGGGAACTTCTCTACTCGCCGTAGAGACTTGAACGGAGCTCTCTCTCTCTTTCTCACTCGCGTTCGACAAATTCAACTGTCGAAAGTGATGTCAGGAATGACAATTGTGAAATGATGCTGCGCAGTTATATCGTTGCTTCGTGAGGAAGCTGATAATTATACGTTGCGACGAGCGCAAGATCCGTCGTTAACAGGCTCGCGGTGGAAAACTGTCGAAAGAACTAATAGGATACGCCGGGTCTATCTCTGCGTTTTCAAAAGCCAGGGTCCATCGGCACGTTTTTATAACCCCCCGTTCTCTCCCGGGGCTCTTGTCGCCGGTACTTAAGTCGTCCAAAGCAATTAAAAGCGGACCTGCGCTTGTTGTCGTCCGGTCATTAAGTTCGGCGCGAGTTCGGTAAAACGACCGCGAACGGTTTATAACAAGTTCCGCTTGTATTCCACACCGGAGTGTTGCCGCTTTTACGGCGAGCGAATACTCTTTACTGCCGTATAAATTAATCGGCCGGGATTATATTACCGCGCGAAATACAGTTCTTCATTCGGCTTATCACCGTGCTGAAGGGCACGATGATGAGTCCTTGTAGCGCGTTGAAATACGGGGGTACGTTTGTTCAAGAAAATAGACGCAACTGGACATTTTTCACCATTCTTTTTCCCCGCGTACGAACGAAATTTTTAATTTCCTCGGAGCTCGCGGAATCTGGGATCCTCGGATTTCTGTGTGACTAGTCGCCGGGTATACTCGACAGACCCTCGAATTATCCGACTCTCGAATCTTCGGCGGTTCGCATCTGCGAATATCGCCGCAGGCCTTTCCGAGTAAAATAAAGAAGAACACCGTCGACGGGGACTACTTCACCGCGTATCCTGAAATAGTTTCGCTACGGTAAGGGAAAAGTTTTCGCGAGTAGAGGGAATCGTCTGTGTATCATTTTAATTTGTCTGCTGGGAGGTCAGGCGTGTTCCTGCCCTCGGCGAGCACCCATCCGTGCGCCGTGGGGTGTCGGGCGTTGTTTTGCCGTCTTTCCCGACTCGGTGGGAAAGCAGTGTTCCTTTTTCCCCAGCATCGGCCTCACTTAGGTAATATTAAACCACTTGTAACTAGTGACGCGAGACCGGGGATATTCTCGGAAAACAAAGACGTTTTGAGAACGATGACACACTCTCCGAAAGAGGGACTATCAAAGTGACATCCTGCGAACATTATCTGAGAATGAAAATTCCGGAAAACTGTCTCTTTGTGAACAAAAATACCCCACCACGGAAAAGACGCAATTCGTAATTTTGAGACGATTGATCTGAAACGAAGAGATCTGAAATTATGATTTAAAGAATCGAAACTTTCAAGATCCGCAACATCTGATCATTTATTTAGTAAACGGAACATATGAACGAACGAATGATGAAAAATTCTCAATTTTAACGTGATTGAACATTATTGGCCAATTTTCGCAATATTCATTATTGAGAGATATAATAATATGTACTACTGAGCAAATACCAGCTGTTACCTTTCATAGATTTCCTCGCTTTTATTATATCGAACCAAGAAACGCGAGAGATCTAAGACTTTGAAATTCAAGCTTCCTTATATCGTTTCAAATTTTAACCTTGACATCTTAAGAGCGATGCAATCGTTCCGAAGGTTTTACGAGTTTAACATTCTGAAAGCTTCTCACGGATACTGAGAACGAAAGACTATCCTATTCCCTGATTCGCGTAAATTCCGAATTTTTCGGCCAAAGGCCCGCCGCGTCTCGGCCGGCATGTCTCTTTAATATGCAATTCAAAATCGACCGGAGCTCACGCGCGCGATTAATCAAATAAGTCCGGTTCTCTTCCTTTTTCTTCTCGCAAGACGTATAGCTACGAGCTGGTTGTTGGTCCATTTATCTATCAATCTCCCGGCGACATTGTAGAAACATACACCGGACGTTCCTCTCCGCTTCTCTCTTTCTGTCCCGTTCTCCGTGGCGATCGCGAGATAACATCCGGCAAAAGCGTTAAGCCCGCGCGATACGAGCGAAACGGGCAGAAGGAGAGGAGGAAAGCCGATCCCAAGTGTCGGACAGGTTCTCTCCGCGAGCGGACTCCCTCCGAGGGAAGAAGAGGGCTCCCGGCTCTCATATCCTCGGGGCCCCGGGTAGTTCACGCGACCGCGGCGACACGAATTTACTTTTATTTAAACCTCCTCTCCTTCCTTTTATTTAGAGCCCGGAGGAGCCGGGAGGAGCGCCGCGCTCATTTTGTTCCTTTGCCGGCCGCTCTCTGTCCCCCTCCCCCTCCCGGCCTCTGAATTAATAGCCGCGCTAGTGTTTTTCGCAGTGTGTCGCTCGCTCGTGCGTGTGCGCTGCGCCGTGCGTGTGCACGCGTGTGCAAAGGCGCGTACCGACGTGACACGCGTTAAAAATGCGCACCGTTTTCTCACGACGACGACGACGCGGCACTGAAACCGCCGTGCTTTATCGCTCCCGCTCCCGCAGCACGGCCGAGTGAGCGAGCTAACGCTCCGCTCGCGAGGAATGATGCACGGGATGTGTGCGCGGGACGAAGCCGCGACGAGATCCCTCCGCGATCCGCTCGTGCGAGCCCGGCTGCTTCGGACATCGCGACATTGACGGGGAAGGAAGAAGTTGATCGGAAACAACTTCGAACGTACCTGGGTTTCTGGAGAGTAAAAAAATCTAATTAGAAATAATTGAGCGGCAACCTTCTCGCAACTGATATCAATCGTCGAGAGTTTCGGGAATAATAACCCCTGAGAAAGAAATTGTGACGGGGGGGAACTCGAGAAGTCGGGACGATTGTTTCGACGGAGAAACGCGTCGACGGGAGGGACGGCAGGTGCTGGTCGCGCAGGAGAAGCCAGCAAGAACCCGGCTATCCTTCATTAGCACTCTCGTTACCCGGCCGCCGTTTCTTCTACGCTCGGCGGACGCAACGCGCTCACGCACGCACGCACGCACGCGGAGTCCGTCGCTCGCGCAGCCTTGCACCATCGCGCCGCGCGTTATGTCACGCAGTTCGCTCTCGGCGGTCGGTTGGTGAAAATAGAACCGAAATTTCTCGCTGACCGCCCCTGTGACGTGTCTCTCCTCGCGATACCGGCGAAATTAAGGAGTAAAGTCGGAATCCGCGGGAGGGGGGGTCTGGAACCGCGAGGTGGAATCCGAGGAACTTACACTCGCGGTACGTTGGAGGCCGCGATTCGAGACATTCGGGATCCAAGGAATTTAGAGACCCCGGGGGCTATTAGAATTCAAAACGTGTAGAATCTAGGGCGCTTAGACGCGGAGGACCTCGAATCCTCCGTAATTCGGAGTCCGGGGCATATAATATATATATCGACGCCGGGCCGCTCGAGCAGCGCCAGCCGAGTCGATAGCGGTTCGAAAGCGAAACAACGTTGTCAAGTATCGCGTTAATCGAGTCCCACCTATAATTACCCCCCGGCCCTTCCTTCTCGAGGATCGTCCTCTCTCGGCTCGAACGATAATAAGCCACCGGGCGCCTCCTTCACTGAAAACTGGCGGACAAGCGTGACAGTGTAACCGGCAGCAAACGAGAAGTAGAAAGAGAAAAGGAGAGCGGGGCGCTAAACGGCAGGGGGGAAGGAGGCGAGGTAGAGGGAAGAGAGGGAAAAGGCGAGGATAGAAAGGAGTAGTCGTAAAAGCGCATTTTTCTCGGGTATCTGGCCGATTAATGAACCGATGTCGTCGCCAGGACCACCCCGAAGGATACGCGTACGGGACGCGCATCCCTCGCGATAGACCGACAGCAGTCCAGGACTATAATACCTATCCTATAACCAGCTCCTGTCCGTCCTCCTAGCAGCAGGTCTCAAACGGACCGCGCCTTTACCTGACCAAGTTTTACGATCGTCGCGCCGAGGTGGCGATGTGTCCTCGTGTTATCGTCCTGGCGGGATCTGGCCTGGCTAAAGCAGGCTTCTGCCACGGCTCCTTTTATTATATTTCTCTTTCCTCCTCCTCCTCCTACTCTTCTTCTTTCCTCCGTGCTGATGCTGTTGTTGGTTCCTCTTCGCGGCTAAGGAACACAGGACGACAGGGCATTACTTTGCAATTCGCGACCGACGCGTTTTGACTTAGGTGCGACGCTCGTTTGCGAGAGGACGGAGAAGGTTTGCGCTGAGAATGAAGGGCGATTATTTATCTCTCGCGCTGGCTGACAGGACGATTAGACGCACGCTTGTTACTCGAATTGATAGGATGGCTGGATAATGTTCTAAACGTCGTGCGTTCAATCGTCGCCGTTGAGAGGGGGAAACGTTTGATATTTGTAACTATCAAAGCAAGTATTTTATTACCCGAGCGGGTATTTTTATTTGAGTCAATTAAATGAGCTTCTCGGTGTATAATTTCTTTCGGCGTACGACGATTTCGACGGCGGGACGTGTCGAGACCTCCCGAATTCCTCTCGAAATCTTCCCGGATTCCGCTCGGTGTATTTAACTGTAGCGTTGCGTCCAATTTGACTTAGCTCGCCGTTACTTCGCCTATAAGTCAATTATTTACGAAGCCATCGACGGTCGACTCGCTTTCCACCGGGCTGTCAATATGTCGTCAATCTTCCGCCTGTGTCGACACACCGAGTTTCGAGTTCTGGCATTCCCCGTCGCGTCGTATTAGGAGAGATCGACTACCGGCTGTAATTTGTTGTTCTCGCTTCGCCGGAATAAATTTCCACAGGGACTAGTTTCTCGGGCGCGCAGCGCTCGCGCGTGGTGGTTCTGGCCGCGCCGGTTCTGCCCTGTGCGCGCTCGCCCTTTCGCCTCCGCCGTCTTTGCATTCCACCATGAAATGTCGCAAACGCTTATACAACCTGTCGGCGGAAAATCGCCGCAGAATGCGACGCGATTTCTAAAATCGCGAAACGGCAGCTCCGTGGAA